CATGCCTTTAAACTTGCCTTGCAGGGCTACTAAGAATTTTACTAAGTACTCACTCAGAGCAACAAATATAATTATTAATTACACATAATGTATCTAATAATTATTAAGGTGGTATGGGATACCAAACGAAATTTCTCCTATATATTCATTTACCCAAATTAGGAGGATTTGAAATGCCATCACGCTTCAGAATGTTAAATCGTAATTTTAATAATTTTTTTTATTATTTTAATGAGAAATACAAAACTGATTTTTTATCATATAATTCTTATATCAAAAGCTTAATATTATAGGCAGGAGTTTTCTAATATCAAGTGTATATAAAAACAAAAATGACAAGAAATATGTCTTCGTATTTTTTTTAATTTAAAAAAAAATAAGCGTAAAAAACTGGGAAAACTTCATTTCTTGAAAACAGACGGATAAAATTGCATGAAAATCTACAATTAGAATGTATGTTAATATGTCGGCAAATTGAAATAAAGAAATTGAAAATATATATATAAATGGAAAATATCAGATGCATTCAAATATTTTTGGATTAAAAGATCCGAACGGAAGAGTTATCTTTCTTTATTTTCCAGGGGTTGAAAAAATCTGGGTGCTATTTAAGAAATGATTCATCATTTTATCACCGATATAAAAAATCGCACTTTCTTTCATTGGTAGTTTTTAACTTGGAACTGTTTTGAAGACAATGCCTGGACAATCGCTTTCAAAACGTGTCTCATTCAGATCGAGCCATTACATTCATTTAAAAGTATTCGGACTATATCCAACAGCTAGCTGATTTGTGACCAAACAGTTACCTCTTGAATTAAATAACAAAGAAGACCAGCCCTGGTTAACGTGATAATTGATTGGTAATTATTAAGCACAATGTGAAATCCTCATACTTATCCATGCCTCATCGCACACCTGGGGTAGTGGACAGTTAAACAATTGAAAGACAGCTTTTCATTAATAGTGTTCAAAAGCTGCAATGTTCAAACTATATGATTTACAGAGTTTGCTTTTTAAATGTCCATAGTACAATTAAAAGTAAATTTATATACTTTTTTGTCTATTTTAGCTAAAATGCAGACTTATGAGAACTTGCATTGAATTAGCTACAGTTTGTTCTTTTAAACGGTGTATCTACAATTTTTGACCTGATAATAAGCGCTCATGCAAATCAAAACAATATTTCAAACGGAAGTACGTCATAACATGGAGATATAACATTCTACCTTAAATCTATTTTCAAACATGTTTTATCATCATAATTATTATTTTTGTATGTCAAAATTGTAAAATTTAAAGGTGATTCGAAATATCCTAAATGATTATATAATATACCCTAAAATCTTGAAAATAAGACGGATTTAATAATAAGCCGGTTTTGAAAATAAGCCATCTATTTCTTGCATTAAAAATTACTCGAAAATAAGCCAGTTTTGAAAATAAGCTGGTCATGACAATGCCATTTAGGAAAGATGTTAAACGTTGACAATTTCCTCGTCTTAAAAATTTGACGTGTGAAAATTTTGACGATTTTACTAATAAAGGGTTGTTCATAAATTTAAATTTTTTTACCAGTTATCATGTTACGCTGGCTTAAAAAAAATAATTGCGAAACCAGCTAAAATGGTGAAATTTTTCATGAAATTGTCAGAACAATAATTATATATCATCATCTATACCTGTTCAAGTTAACGATGTGTTTAAAGTTGTTAAAATTAAATATGTAAATGGATAAAAGGAAGTTTTTGTTTGTAAAACATTTAACAGTCAGGTAATTATGCCCAAGGCAAGAAACTGCTGATCGGCAGGGCTTGGTAGTAATTATACATTTCAATGTACTGTATAATTGAGTTGTTTAAATAAATATGTGTTTGTTTGATAAATTTATCAAGTGATTCAATTACAAGCGAATATCTTATATATTATTTTTATACCCCCCGCAAACGAAGTTTGGGGGGGTATATAGGAATCACCTTGTCCGTCTGTCTGTCTGTCCGTCTGTCCGTCTGTCTGTGCTATCGTGTCCGGTCCATATCTTTCTTACAAAGGGACATTAGAATCTACTACTCCACACTAAGATTGCTCATGACCTAAGGGTGTGTCATGACCTTGACCCAAGGTCATTCGGGGAAGTTCAAGGTTACTGGAAGAAAAATTTCATAATTCGTGTCCGGTCCATATCTTTCTTATGGATAAACTTGGTAGGTTCTCATTTCACACAAAGATTGCCCATGACCCAAGGCTGTGTCACGACCTTGACCCAAGGTCATTTGGGAAAGTTCAAGGTCACTGGAAGAAAATGTTCATAAATCATGTTTGATACATATCTTTTATAGATACACTTGGTAGGTTCTCATTTCACATAAAGATTGCCAATGACACGGAGATGTGTCATGACCTTGACCTAAGGTCATTTGGGAAAGTTCAAGGTCACTTGAAGAAAAATTTTTATATTCCCTGTCCGGTTCATATCTTTCTTATGCATAAACTTAGTAGGTTCTCATTTCACACAAAGTTTGCCCATGACCCAAGGGTGTGTCATGACCTTGACACAAGGTCATTTTGGGAAGTTCAAGGTCACTGGAAGAAAAATTTCATAATTTGTGTCCGGTCCATATCTTTCTTATGGATAAACTTGGTAGGTTCTCATTTCACACAAAGATTGCTCATGACCTATGGGTGTGTTATATCCTTGAACCAAGGTCATTTGGGAAGTTCAAGGTCACTGGTAGAAAAATTTCACAATTTGTGTCCGGTACATATCTTTCTTATGCATAAACTTGGTAGGTTCTCATTTCACACAAAGATTGCCCATGACACAAGGGTGTGTCATGACCTTGACCCAGGGTCATTTGGGGAAGTTTAAGGTCACTGGTAGAATAATTTCATAATTCATGTCTGGTCCATATCTTTCTTATGGATAAACTTGGTAGGTTTTTATTTCACACAAAGATTGCCCATGACCCATGGGTGTGTCATGACCTTGACCCAAGGTCATTTTGGGAAGTTCAAGGTTACTGGAAGAAAAATTTCATAATTTGTGTCCGGTCCATATCTTTCTTATGGATAAATTTGGTAGGTTCTCATTTCACTGAAAGATTGCCCATGACCCAAGGGTGTGTCATGACCTTGACCCAAGGTTATTTGGGTAAGTTCCAGGTCACTTGAATAAAAAATTTCATAATTTTTGATTTTGATACATTTCTTTATTATGGAAAAACTTACTTCTGAAAAACCCAGCGGGGGGTATTTCGTCCCGTTTGGACAGTTCTAGTTACTTTTTTGAAACAAGTTTATATTTCATGTAAATTCATTTGCTGTATACAAAGAAATTAACTTTTCGGGTTCGGCATTCTCAAAATATAAAGTAGACGAACCTAAAGAAGGTACACAGGGAAACGCCAATGAATACAATAATGCTCTCTTCTCTTACCAGTTTTTTGCTTTGGTAATAAGCCGTAATTTGAAAATAAGCCAGTCTTGAAAATAAGCCCCCACTTTCTTACCAAAACTTAAAATAAGCCGCGGCTTATTTTCAAGATTTTAGGGTATATGTGTACTTCTTCGAATAGAAAAATGTCTAAGGTACAATCATAGGATGACATATAATTTTTACCCAAAATACAGCCAGAATGCAGGATTTGGCATCTCTATTTTCAAAATTTCCCGTACCCCCACCAGCAGGAGGGGGAAACCCCCTCCCGCACCTGCCCCCCTCGTCGCTTCGCGACTTGGCCACCAGCCTTCGGCTGTGGGACAAGCAATACATGAACAGGGCTAGTAGAAATTAGAAATGGCTGGCCCTGCTGTCAATTATGGTTTAAAAGTTAGTGTCGACCCCTGATAGGGATATATAGGGAAACCTTTTAAAATCTTCTTTTCAAGTACTTCAAAGCTATGATTAGTGATACCCAGGGTATTTATATGGAATCATCCTCAGGTAGTGTAGATTCTAGTTAGTTCAAATGATGAACGCCTGGAAGGGGGGAGTAAATTCAAGCCCGATGTGCTCAGGTGAGCGCTGTGGCCCCTGGGCCTCTTGTTTCAAAGATCATATTGCTGTGAAATATGAAAAACCATAGACCCATGTATCCACTCAAAAGTTATATAGCCAAGGTTACAGTTTTGGGGGACAAACAGATAAATATCTTCTGGTAGAGTTGATTCTGATATCTTCAAATTATGATCCCCAGGGTTTTGTGTATTGGTGTGTTCAAGATTAAGCCTAATCACCTGTATTGAATTGTTGGCATATTTTTGAATTAGCGCAACACAGTTCTGTGCTGTATATTGTATTTATATATGATTTCTTAGGGTTTCCTGAATTATCGCATCAATGTCAATGCGCCAAAGTGGCTATATGATGACAGGGCGCTTCTCTTAATACAGTTTGTACATTATACATGTATATAAACACTTATGCTTTGATTGTGAAAAATATGAATGAGATTGGGAAGTGTATAATATTACCTTAACCTCAACCAGAAAAAATCCTCTTGTAGTGACTTATTTTAAAAAATCAAGGAAAATAACTGTGTTGTGTTTATTTGTATAATGAATGAGTTTTCTTGTTGTTATCATTATATGATTTAAAATTTTAAAATTTTGACTGGGAATATGACCTGTAATCTGACAATGTCACACAGAGAAATACCTTGTATCTGTTAGTGACTTAATTATCATAAAAATCAAGTAAAATATAAACTGTGTTGTGTATACTGATTGAGTTTTCTTGTTGTTATTTAGATGGAGCTTCGACGGTCTTCGAGGATTCGGCGTCGCCCTGCCTGGCACGCCGACTACGTGATGGACTTCCCGGTAAGTATTTCATAACACACAGTCTACATTTCTTAGTTGATATTAGGCTTACAAATCCAAGATTTCTAGTCCAAATTTTCATCCTCTGCCATTAAATGATTCCATTATTCTGTCCTCATTGACATCCGTTCATTTTCTCAGAAACATTTATGCACATATTCTTTTCAAATTTGATATATGGATACCAGGCTTGGGGCAAATTACATTGAAAGTAATGCATTACCATTACCATTACTTCAACAATTTTGGCATTAAATTACCATTACCATTACATTATTTTCTTAAAGTAATGCATTACATTACCATTACTTAAGTAAAGTAATGCATTACCATTACCATTACTTTTGGGGGGTATCAAAAATAGAATTTTTACAATATTTTTTGTCATAAGTATGTATCCACCCCATTCAAAACTAAACATGATAAATTATAACTCAAATTTGATTTCAAGATTTTGTATATAATTACAATGTCACTAACTTACAATCAACGAAAGTTCAAAGTTCTGAATTGTCAGTTTTATAACACATGCATGTACAATATCCATTTTTGTGTAACTATTGAAGTCATTAAGTAATATAACTTTTTGGGCACTTTAACCACTGTTATCCCCTGCCTTAAATATCTAATTTATAATAAAGCATATAGGGTATTTTGATTAGTACCTAGCTTATAAAAAAAATGCATTGACAAACTTTTTGAAAAAGTAGACAGGCCCGGGTGTACATTTTGATCTGTGAATCACAATGAAGCAGGGAATACAGTCCCTGAAACGTTCTACTTTCCCATTTTTCCGTTCGCTCACCGTTCGTTCACCGTTCGTTCAGCGTGCGTTCACCGTTCGCTCTCCATTAACAGTTTTGCGTTCACCGTTTACCGTGCGCTTGCGTTCACCGTTCACAAAACGTTCACCGTTCGCTCTTCGTTCCGTTTTGTTTGCGTTCACCGTTCACTTATCGTTCAGTCTTTATTGTCATTCGGAACTTCGAAGTGAAAGGACTTATCTTTTTGATGGTAAGGATTTACACGTTTTTAATTAAATAACTAAGATAGTGTTTGAAGAATAATAATTTCATCAATTGCAAAAAGTATCTACTATACAATGTATTTATATTTCTATTATTATAACTTAGCTGTTACTTTATCCATTTTTCCCTGGAAAAAAATACATTAAGAACATACATGTAAGTAGAACGATGCTAAAATATTAAATTTGAATAAGGGCAATGTCACTAAACAAATACTTAAAGCGCGGCATTTCGTTATAATATAAAAGACGACAAAAAATCGTTAATAGATGAATAATAATTTTACAAGACAAGAATACACAAAAAAATATGTCTAACAAGTTTTTAAAGAAAAAATAAACACAAACATGCTAGAACTATATATATGTCTGAGAATTATGAATTGTACTACAGATATTCAGTTAATTAAATATTTGTAGAGCGAATTAAATTGTTAGTGTGATTCTAAATTTTAGAAAAGACAAACTGTTGAAAATTTAATACAATAGAATTTTTGGTTCTACATCATGTAAATAAAGTGTGCATTACAAAGGAAAAAAACCTTCCTTCAAGTAACTAAATATACGTTTGCCATTCTGTATGCTTAACAGCCCCCCCCCCCCCCCCAGCACCCTTTCTTCCGAAATCAAATTTTTAGTTAGTATTTTCAGTATATATTAATTAATATTCAATGTGTATTGTACATGTAACACAGAAAAAATTATTCTTTATACAAACATCAAAACAGTCATTATATACATATATACATACATGTGCCCACAGTGGTTTTTTGATTTGGCAGGGATTATGTTTGAAATTCAATTTCAAACTTAATCCTTCCAGGTATATACATGTATTGCAATTATTTATTCATTTTTTCCGTAGAAAAGCGAAAATCAAATTAAAAAATGATGTAAACAAAATGTTAAAACTTCTCGGGAATACGAAGTGACTCTGGCTTCGGCATGTTCGGTGAAGCGAGATTTAAACACCTCCATTGTGTCGAATTATTTTGATTGACAGGACAAGCACGTGCACTAAATTGAGTGAATCATTTGAACTAGAAGGAAAAAAATGATGCTTACTGTAAAATGGATTTGTTAATAAAAAAAATGATTACTTTGAACGCCTGGAATATTAGAAAAAAAATTAATATATGAATTTTTATTCGATGCAACAAACCTCTCTCTCTCTCTCTCTCTCTCTCAAGTGTCTTTCGCTATTACATTTGTCATGTTAAATAAAAACTATGACAACATATTTATTATTGATTTGGTTCTGTAATTCTAATCTATTACAAATAATTTGAATGCTTCTATCCATTATCTTGTCCGAGTATAATCATTGTCGGGAAATGTCTTCAGATATACATTTGCATTTAAAACTTAGCTTAGAAATTAACCAGACAAAATAAAAATAACTAATAAATATATAATATCATTGCATAATTTTTTTTAATACGAGTGAATGGTGCAATATGTCAACAAACATGTCCAAAAAAAAGTAATAAAAAAAAAATCAGTATTTTACACGGAATCGCCGTGACATCGAAATATATATATATTATGTAGTTTTAATCTAATAATTCATTCTGTAAGTATAGTGGTTTTCTCTTCTGAAGTCCACATTGTTTTAATAGTCAAAAGAATAAGCAGATTTATTTTATTAGTAAATTAATTTTATCTTTTATACGACAGGTATTCGGTAACAAACACACATGTTTTACGGCAATAAAAATCGTGTTATTAAAATATTGATTTAAAACATCAAACGTATGTGCAGAAAAAATGTTTTAATTATTTATTCACTTATTTATTTATTGTTTATTTATATTTTAGCATCTAACATTAGAATATAACAGAATGATTTAAATGCAAGGAAAAAATCTGATGCATTCCGAATAAATCGTTCATCTTGGGTTCACCGTTCGTTCACCGTTTGCACTCCGTTCGCGTTCTGCGTTCACTCACCGTTCTCCGTTCACACATCGTTCACCAAGTTGCGTTCAGCGTTCACACACCGTTCGTTCACCGTTCGTTCACCGTTCGCTCTGCGTTCGTTCACCGTTCGTTCAGCGTTCGCTCACCGTTCAGGTGGGAAAGTAGAACGTTTCAGGGACTGTACCTGCATGGCTTCTATTTTCTTTGGTACAATGAATTTTTCATGGTCAGTACAAGATAAATCGATCAGCACAATTAATGTTTTTATAAACACAGTCAGGAGAAAAGGATTGGTAATTTGGAGCACTTCTCCAAATAATGCATTGTTTTCATTGCTACATAAACCAGAATCCTAGTGTGTTTTGATGATCGACACTCTAGCTATTCAAAAGGAACCATGCATTTATCAGTTTACAGTGTACATTAATTAGTGTATCTCGTAAGTGATCTTGTTAAAAAAAATCTTTTAAAACTTTTTTATATAATTCTAATCTGAAATAAATTTGAAAACTTCATTGTAAGGTAGGTGGACTTTCAACAGAATTAAAGGTGTATTTAAATAGATATAGAAATGTTATCTAAATAGGTAACTTAACATTTTTATTCAATAGCATCATTTGCCAAAAAAAGAATTAAAAAAATAAATAAATAACCTAAACAATAATTTCCATCATCCAAGTCCATTTCAATTTCTTAAAATAGGTACTTATTTTACAAAACAATGCTGTGTAATGCTATATAATATGCCAGCATTACACTGGATTTTATGAAGTAATGCATTACATTAATTACCATTACATGCAATGCAAATTTTTGGGCATTACACATTACTAGCATTACTTTGTGATCATGTAATGCATTGCACAGAAATACATTAAATAGGGAATTTTTATACCCCACGCAACTAATTGCAGGAGGTATAATGTTTTTGACCCGTCAGTTAGTCAGTCCTCTTTTTTTGTCAGCACAATTCCTCATAAACTACTGCACAGAATTTCGTCAAACTTTGCAGATATTTAGGACACATTGTGTAGATGTGCTTATTACCAGGAAATTCTGATTCCATTATTTTTTCCGGGAATTTCCGCACTTTTTAACTTTGGCATTTGGTCGTACCTTGAATAAAGAGATGAACAGTTTGTCAGCGCAACTCCTCATAAACCGCTGCACAGAATCTCATCAAACTTTGCAGATATTTAGGACACAATATGTAGATGTGCAAATTACCAGGAAATTCAGATTCCATTATTTTTTACGAGAATTTCTGCACTTTTTATCTAAGGCATTTGGCCATACCTTTTACATAGAGATGAACAGTTTGTCAGCGCAACTCTTCATAAACCACTGCACAGAATTTCATCAAACTTTGCAGATATTTAGGACACATTGTGTAGATGTGCATATTACCAGGAAATTCTGATTCCATTATTTTTTCCGGGAATTTCCGCACTTTTTAACTTAGGCATTTGGTCGTACCTTGAATAAAGAGATGAACAGTTTGTCAGCGCAACTCCTCATAAACCGCTGCTTAGAATCTCATCAAACTTTGCAGATATTTAGGACACCATATGTAGATGTGCAAATTAACAGGAAATTCAGATTCCATTATTTTTTATAAGAATTTCCGCACTTTTTTATCTAAGGCATTTGGCCATACCTTTTACATAGAGATGAACAGTTTGTCAGCGCAACTCTTCATAAACCACTGCACAGAATTTCGTAAAACTTTGTAGATATTTAGGACACATTGTGTAGATGTGCATATTACCAGGAAATTCCGATTCCATTATTTTTTCCGTGACTTTTCGCACGTTTTCACTTAAGCGTTTGGCCATACCTTGAATATAGAGATGAACAGTTTGTCAGCCCAAATCCTCATAAACCTCTGCACAGAATCTCGTCAAACTTTGCAGATAATTAATACACATTGTGTAGATGTCTTCTTCTCAAGAACCACTAAGCCAATTTCGACCAATTTTGGTACAAAGCATAATTGGGTGAAGGGGAATTTAAATTGTTAAAATGAAGGGACATATCCCCTCGCAAGGGGAGATAATCAAGAAAAGAAAAAAATAAGAAAATAAGGTGGTGTCATCAAAAATTTTTCTCAAGAACCACTGGGCCAATAAGATTGAAACTTATGTGGAGACACCATAGGATAGTGTAGATTCTAAATTGTTCAAATCATGACCCCCGGGGGTTGGGCGGGCCACAATGGGGAATCAAAGTTTTACATAGAAATGTATAGGAAAAATCTTTAAAAATTTTCTTGTCAGGAACCATTGGGCCAGAAAAGCTGAAACTGATGTGGAAGCATCCTGGGAAAGTGTAGATTCTAAATTGTTCAAATCATGACCCCCGGGGGTAGGGCGGGGCCACAATAGGGAATCAAAGTTTTACATAGAAATATATAGGAAAAATCTTTGAAAATCTTCTTCTCAAGAACCACTGTTTCAATAAGGCTGAAACTCATGTGGAAGCATCCTGGAATAGTGTAGATTCTAAATTGTTCAAATCATAACCCCAGGGGGTAGGGCAGGGCCACAATAGGGAATCAAATTTTTACATAGAAATATATCGGAAAAATCTTTGAAAATCTTCTCAAGAACCACTGGGCCAGAAAAGCTGAAACTCATGTGGAAAAGTTAGGGTCGGCACTATAAATTAGGGTTGGTCCAGAAAGGGGAAACAAACATATTTATTTTCTAGGCCTAAGCCAAGATTGCATGGTCTTACATCCAGACATGCAGGGCTGACTGCTAGTGGAAGTTGTCAGCCCTGCCAAAAATAATCTTTTATAAGTTTGTTTCGCAATAAAATTAATGGTGTCAGCTCACCATATAGTTGATCTCTGGCCTATAAGCTGATGAATTCTTCATGCTTGCTTGTTAGCTCACCTGAGCCAAAGGCTTTCTTAATCAAAATTTGCCCATTGTCTGTCGTCGTAAACTTTTCACATTTTCATCTTTTTCTCAAGAAACACTGGGCCAATTTCAACCAAACGTACCACAAAGTATCATTGGTTGAAGGGGATTTAAGTTTGTTCAAATGAAGGGCCATTTTCTCTTAATTGTACTCAGATCTACCTTTGGGTATTAAGTAAATAGAGTTAGCATGCTAAGTCTAAATTATTATAAGCAATGGTACCCCTTTCAAAATTGTGAATTGCGAATTCCATGGTCTCTGGTTTATAACATGAACCAAATTTAATTGTTTGAAAGTTGTTGCACAATACTCAGGTGACCTATAAGGCCCGTGGGCCTCTTGTTTATATATGCTTTCTGAAATTAATTATTAACTATAAATATGAACAATGGATTCTGTATGTTGATCCAGAATATATTTCTCCGCACAATTTAAATCTGTTATTACTTTTGATAATCATCAGTCAGTCAATGTTAAATATTTAAATTAAATCAGAGATACATTAACATTAATGAATGTTTGGCTTGAAGATGATTAATTAATTTGACGTCATGCCTTTTATATTATCAGGCCAGTTTGAGTACCATGCGAATAAAGTTTACTACCTGCCCTATGCATGTAAATGCTTCCGTTTGCTCCTTTTTTTTTTATACCTGATCAAAAACCTAAAGGATAGGCCTACAAAATTCCTTGCATGAAATAAGGGTATTAAACATTGACAAAATATTCAAATACAAATTTTCCCTTTGAATTTTCGTGAAAAACTATTCATTCGCGAATGTTGGAGCATTTGTTTTAGCTCTAATGAGCAGAGAGGGATTTTTTTAATAGCACCTGATTTTACATGGGATTTTAAATTTTTATCTTCTTATCTAAATGACCAGTCCCCACGTCCCACAATGTATTTCAAACCTCAAGGTATATAAAAATATGGTTTTCCAGTCCTTTTCTAACAATTATTCTTTTTATCTTTTAGGTGCGACAGTCCATCAGGCAGCAGAGGGTGGGGGCTGGAGATGCTCTCCAAGAGACAGAGGACATGGCACTGCCTTCTTCACAGCCTGCTCTTGATCTTCCTGAGGAGGAGCTTGAACAAACTGAAGAGGTGGCATCGCCATCTTGTCAGTCTGTGATAGTTCACCCTCAGGAGGATCCTGTACAGGATGAGGGGATTGCAGCGCCAGCTCCCAAGCCTGTGATTGATCTTCCAGAGATGGAGCTTGAACAAACGGAAGGGATGGCAGTGCCATCCTCTCAGTTTGTAATAGCTCCCTCTCAGAAAGATCATGGTCTTGCATGGGCCTGGGAGATGGTATCGCTATCTCCTCTGGCTGCTGGAGGTCATCCTTCCTGGCTTCCATTTCGATGCTGGCCTCCGCTGGAAGTGATTCCCCAGGATCAGCCACCACCAGAGGGTAAATCAGTAAGTCAGTCAGTCAGTCAGTCAGATAGAATGGCTTCTTTCTCCTGTTTGGAGTGGATAGTAAGAATGGCGACTTTTTCCTGTTTGGAGTGGATGGTTAAGAATGGCGACTTTCTCCTGTTTGGAGTGGATAGTGAGAATGGCAACTTTCTCCTGTCTGGAGTGGATAGTAAGAATGGCGACTTTCTCCTGTTTGGAGTGGATAGTAAGAATGGCGACTTTCTCCTGTTTGGAGTGGATAGTAAGAATGGCACTTTCTCCTGTTTGGAGTGGATAGTAAGAATGGCGACTTTCTCCTGTTTGGAGTGGATAGTAAGAATGGCAACTTTCTCCTGTCTGGAGTGGATAGTAAGAATGGCACTTTCTCCTGTTTGGAGTGGATAGTAAGAATGGCAACTTTCTCCTGTTTGGAGTGGATGGTAAGAATGGCGACTTTCTCCTGTTTGGAGTGGATGGTAAAGAATGGCGACTTTCTCCTGTCTGGAGTGGATAGTAAAGAATGGGGACTTTCTCCTGTCTGGAGTGAATAGTAAGAATGGCAACTATGAGTCCAGTCAGGTCAGTCCAGTTAGAGAATAGGTTCCCAGCCTAATAGGGGCTTGTTGTAAGAGGCGACAAAATTTTCCACTAAATAGGGGTATCGTTAAAGATTTTCTTAAATTAAACAACTTCAATTTAAGTGTTATTCTTATGTATGCTATGTTTTTATTTTATACACATTATACACACACCACTATTTAAACATAGCATTCATAAGTTTATATCGCCATAGCTCTCTTAAAAACTAAATAATAAAAATAAAATGAATAAAAAATGAATATTTAAATCTTGACTTGAGTAGAGTAGTGTTTTCGTTACAACTAAAACAGCGTTTTGTTAGCTTTAAATAGAAAAAGAAACAAAATTTTATTATTAACCGATTATTAATAAAATAATGAAACTTAAATGATAAAAAAATAATAAAAGGATTCAAAAGTTCTTCAATTTTATAAAGTTCTTTAAAATTTTCCATTAATTTAAATGAAGGGTTGGGTTAGTGGGAGGTCTGTTTAGTTCCCTTGGTCCTTTTTAGTTGGTTAAACCCCCTGGTTGATCGGGGGCTTTAGAGAATAGGTTCCCAGCCTAATAGGGGCTTGTCGTAAGAGGCGACAAAATTTTCCACTAAATAGATGAATCGATTGTTAAAGATTTTTCCTAACACTATTTTAAAAAACTTCAGTTTAACTGTTATTCTTATGTATGCTATGTTTTTATTTTATACACATTATACACACACCACTATTTAAACATAGCATTCATAAGTTTATATCGCCATAGCTCTCTTAAAAACTAAATAATAAAAATAAAATGAATAAAAAATGAATATTTAAATCTTGACTTGAGTAGAGTAGTGTTTTTTCGTTACAATTAAAACAGCGTTATGTTAGCTTTAAATAGAAAAAGAAACAAAATTTTATTATTAACCGATTATTAATAAAATAATGAAACTTAAATGATAAAAAAATAAATAAAGGATTCAAAAGTTCTTCAATTTTATAAAGTTCTTTAAAATTTTTCATTAATTTAAAAGAAGTGTTTGGGTTAGTGGGAGGTCTGTTTAGTTACCTTGGTCCTTTTTGATTGGTTAAACCCCCTGGTGGATCGGGGGCTTTAGAGAATAGGTCCCCAGCCTAATAGGGGCTTGTCGTAAGAGGCGACAAAATTTTCCACTAAATAGGTGTATCGATTGTTAAAGATTTTTCCTAACACTATTTTAAAAAACTTCAGTTTAAGTGTTATTCTTATGATTGCTATGTTTTTATTTTATACATGTTATACACACACCACTATTTAAACATAGCATTTATAAGAATATATCGCCTTAGCTCTCGTTTAACTAAATAATAAAAATAGAATAAAAAAAATAAATAAAAGGTTCAAAAGTTCTTCAATTTTATAAAGTTCTTTAAAACTTTCCAGTTAAGAAGGGTTTGGTTAGTGGGAGGTCTGTTTAGTCACCTTGGTCCTTTTTGATTGGTTAAACCCCCTGGTAGATCAGTGTAAAGAATAGTGACTTTCTCCTGTCTGGAGTGGATGGTAAGAATGGCGACTTTCTCCTGTTTGGAGTGGATAGTAAGAATGGCACTTTTTCCTGTTTGGAGTGGATAGCAAGAATGGCAACTTTCTGCTGTTTGGAGTAGATAGTAAGAATGGCGACTTTCTCCTGTTTGGAGTGGATAGTAAAGAATTGCGTCTTTTTCCTCTTTGGAATGGATCATGGTAAAGAAGGACGACTTCCTCCTGGCTGGAGTGGATGGTAAAGAATGACGACTTTCTCCTGTTTGGAGTGGATAGTAAGAATGGCGACTTTCTCCTGTTTGGAGTGGATAGTAAAGAATTGCGTCTTTTTCCTCTTTGGAATGGATCATGGTAAAGAAGGACGACTTTTTCCTGTGCGAAGTGGATGGTAAGAATGGTGACTTTCTCCTGTTTGGAGTGGATAGTAAGAATGGCGACTTTCTCCTGTTTGGAGTGGATAGTAAGAATGGTGACTTTCTCCTGTTGGAGTGGATAGTAAGAATGACAAATTTCTCCTGTTTGGAGTGGATAGTAAGAATGGCGACTTTCTCCTGTTTGGAGTGGATGGTAAAGAATGGCGACTTTCTCCCATTTGAAATGAATGGTAAAGAATGGCTACTTTCTCCTGTTTGGAGTGGATGGTAAAGAATAGCGACTTTCACCTGTCTAGAGTGGATAGTAAGAATGGCGACTTTCTCCTGTTTGGAGTGGAAGGTAAAGAATGCCAACTATCTCCTGTCTGGAGTGGATGGTAAGAATGGGAACTTTCTCATGTCTGGAGTCGATGGTAAAGAATGGCGACTTTCTCCTGTCTGGAGTCGATGGTAAAGAATTGCGACTTTCTCGTATTCTGTAGATGGTAGTTTATGTAGTTCTTTTTCATTTGCAGTAAAGTTATTATTTGTTTTTTAAAATTTATTTTTTGCCATGGATGGATAATTCATTTAAGATATTAGAGATAAGTATTCCTTTTTTGATGCATGATAATTTATTTTTCAGTTTCCTCTTTATTTAAATGTGTTAAAAGTTCATTGTTTGAAAGTTCCCTCTGCACACTGTGTCTGTCACAGGAGCCTCACCTCAGTCCAGCTGGAGTCAGAAGTAAGTGATTTCTTTGTCACTTCAGTATTTATACGTAATTAGTGGTCGGTCTTATTTTGTTTAATTTAGAGTTACAGAGAAAGTATTTAGAGTTACAGAGAAAGTATTTAGAGGAACAGAGAAAGTATTTAGAGGAACAGAGATAGTATTTAGAGGAACAGAGATAGTATTTAGAGTTACAGAGAAAGTATTTAGAGTTACAGAGAAAGTATTTAGAGGAACAGAGAAAGTATTTAGAGTTACAGAGAAAGTATTTAGAGTTACAGAGAAAGTATTTAGAGTTACAGAGAAAGTATTTAGAGGAACAGAGAAAGTATTTAGAGGAACAGAGAAAGTATTTAGAGTTACAGAGATAGTATTTAGAGTTACAGAGAAAGTATTTAGAGGAACAGAGAAAGTATTTAGAGGAACAGAGACAGTATTTAGAGTTACAGAGAAAGTATTTAGAGTTACAGAGAAAGTATTTAGAGTTACAGAGAAAGTATTTAGAGGAACAGAGAAAGTATTTAGAGTTACAGAGATAGTATTTAGAGTTACAGAGAAAGTATTTAGAGGAACAGAGAAAGTATTTAGAGTTACAGAGAAAGTATTTAGAGTTACAGAGATAGTATTTAGAGGAACAGAGAAAGTATTTAGAGTTACAGAGAAAGTATTTAGAGTTACAGAGAAAGTATTTAGAGTTACAGAGAAAGTATTTAGAGAGAAAGTATTTAGAGTTACAGAGAAAGTATTTAGAGTAACAGAGAAAGTATTTAGAGTTACAGAGAAAGTATTTAGAGTTACAGAGAAAGTATTTAGAGGAACAGAGAAAGTATTTAGAGTTACAGAGAAAGTATTTAGAGTTACAGAGAAAGTATTTAGAGGAACAGAGAAAGTATTTAGAGGAACAGAGAAAGTATTTAGAGTTACAGAGATAGTATTTAGAGTTACAGAGAAAGTATTTAGAGGAACAGAGAAAGTATTTAGAGGAACAGAGAAAGTATTTAGAGTTACAGAGAAAGTATTTAGAGTTACAGAGAAAGTATTTAGAGTTACAGAGAAAGTATTTAGAGTTACAGAGAAAGTATTTAGAGTAACAGAGAAAGTATTTAGAGGAACAGAGAAAGTATTTAGAGGAACAGAGAAAGTATTTAGAGTTACAGAGAAAGTATTTAGAGTTACAGAGAAAGTATTTAGAGTTAACAGAGAAGTATTTAGAGGAACAGAGATAGTATTTAGAGTTACAGAGAAAGTATTTAGAGTTACAGAGAAAGTATTTAGAGTTACAGAGATAGTATTTAGAGGAACAGAGAAAGTATTTAGAGTTACAGAGAAAGTATTTAGAGTTACAGAGATAGTATTTAGAGGAACAGAGACAGTATTTAGAGTTATAGAGACAGTATTTAGAGTTACAGAGAAAGTATTTAGAGTTACAGAGAAAGTATTTAGAGGAACAGAGACAGTGTTTAGAGTTACAGAGAAAGTATTTAGAGTTACAGAGACAGTATTTAGAGTTACAGAGATAGTATTTAGAGGAACAGAGAAAGTATTTAGAGGAACAGAGAAAGTATTTAGAGTTACAGAGAAAGTATTTAGAGTTACAGAGATAGTATTTAGAGAAGTATTTAGAGTTATAGAGAAAGTATTTAGAGTTACAGAGAAAGTATTTAGTATTTAGAGAAAGTATTTAGAGTTATTTAGAGAGAGAAGTATTTAGAGTTACAGAGAAAGTATTTAGAGTTACAGAGAAAGTATTTAGAGGAAAGTATTTAGAGTTACAGAGAAAGTATTTAGAGTTAACAGAGAAAGTATTTAGAGTTACAGAGAAAGTATTTAGAGTTACAGAGAAAGTATTTAGAGAGAGAAGTATTTAGAGTTACAGAGAAAGTATTTAGAGTTACAGAGAGTTACAGAGAAAGTATTTAGAGTTACAGAGATAGTATTTAGAGTTACAGAGATAGTATTTAGAGTTACAGAGAAAGTATTTAGAGTAACAGAGAAAGTATTTAGAGTTACAGAGAAAGTATTTAGAGGAAAAGAGAAAGTATTTAGAGGAACAGAGATAGTATTTAGAGTTACAGAGAAAGTATTTAGAGTTACAGAGATAGTATTAAGAGTTACAGAGAAAGGATTTAGAGGAACAGAGAAAGTATTTAGAGTTACAGAGAAAGTATTTAGAGTTACAGAGATAGTATTTAGAGTTACAGAGAAAGTATTTAGAGTTACAGAGAAAGTATTTAGAGATA